CTCTCCACTGAGCCTTGCGTGCTTCCGATGAAGCTGTGGTGCTTTTCCCAACCCGGGAGAAGGGAGCAGCCGTTCCTGCTCCGTGCCCCCGCCTTCACCTTGCTCCCGGGAGCCCTTCCCTCCTCGGAACCGGCCCTGCCCTCTCCCCCAGAGGCAGACCACCCACCTTCCTGACACTGGTCTCCATGTTTATTTGGGTTGGAGCAGATGTGGCAGGCAATGCCCTTGTAGTCCGGGAAGCAGAGGCAGGCTCCGTTGCCCTGGGACCCATCGCTGCACTGTGGATGGACGAAGACGGTCCGCCTCAGGATGAGCAGGCTGCCCGCCCTGACGTCAACATCACTGGAACTGCCCAGGAACCCGCCTCCCAAAAGGCACCTGGCCCCAGGCGACCGCATGGACGATGTCTGCCCCCCTACCCTTCCACAGGAAAGTCACCCCGATGTCACAAAATGGCTCAAAACAGTGCCGACAAAACCCGCTGACAGCCTCTGAGAACAAGTCCTAAGGAGAGCCTGAGACGTGACGTGGCTGGGCTTCCGTTCAGGGCCAGAGCAAGGCCAACTGGTCTCGATGCCTGGTGGCAGCCCAGCTCAGCTGGCCAGGGCCCCTGCCCCCCACTCACTCGGCATCCATCCTGGGGGGAAGGGCAGCACTCACCTTGCCTTTGCCATAGCAGGGGCTGGAGAAGCCCCCGGGGCACTGTGCGCAGTCGGGCCCAAAGAAGCCTGTGCAGCAGCCGCGCTTCTGGGGGACAGAGCATGTCTGAGCGGCCCGCCGTCCACGGCTCCCTGGGGCGGGGCGTGCATCCCCGGCCCGGGCCCGGGCCCGGGCTTGGTGCCCGGCTCACCGTGACAGTCTGGTTGCAGTAGCGGGCACAGCCCTTCTTCAGGACGTCCAGCCCAGCAGGGTCGTGGACGTAGACACACTCCGTGAGGTGGACGTCCTAGGGACCGTCGGGGTGCTGAGCCGGCTCCCCTTACAGGCAGACCCAGTCCAGGGGCCTCAGCCTCTGGGTCCAGCACCCACCCCACCTCAACCCCGCAGGGCTGAGCAGTTTGGAGCCTCCTGGCCCCTTCTCCCACCCTGACCCAGGACAGACACCTCCCTGAGGGCTCCGTGTAGGGTGCTCACCAGCCCCACGCTGTTGGGGGGGCACGTGCTGGTGTTCAGGGCTTGGCAGTCCACACAGGAGCCCTGGTGGAGGGGGGTGGGGGTATCAGCGTTTA